CTCTCTCTCTCTCTCTCTCTCTCTCTCTCTCTCTCTCTCTCTCTCTCTCTCTCTCTCTCTCTCTCTCTCTCTCTCTCTCTCGTGCGCGGACAGTGGCCCACAGCCCTCTCTCTGTATCTGTGTCTCTCTGTCTCTCTGTCCTCCTTTGTGTATATCTCTGTCTCTGTGTTTCTCTCCGTGTCTCCCTTCTCTGTTTCTCTCTCTGCCTCTCTCTCGCTCTATCTCAACCTCCCCTCCTCTCTCTCAACCCCCTTCACTTCCTCTCTTCGTCTCTCTCCCTGTTTTCCCCTCCCTAAGCCTTGCTCGCCCTCTTTCTCCTTTCATCCGTCGACGTCCTCTCACGAGAATAGTCCAATCCATCACGGCCCCGTCCTACGCATTGGGCCCAGGAGAGCTTTATGTATTTCAATAGATCGGCAGCCTGACTGGATTCTCTTCTGCAAGAGCCGCTTTTGCTCTTCTCCTCGTTCTCAGCACCTTCCTTTCCTTTCCTCCTTCCTCTTCTTATCTATTTCTGCCTCCTTTCATTTCCCCCACCCATTCTTAACCTCCTCCTCCTCCTCCTCCTCCTCCTCCGTCTCCTCCTCTGTCTCCTCCTCCTCTCTCGCTTATTCCTCTTCTGATCTTTTCGTTTCCCTTTTGTCATGAAAATCCCCTACCGTTTTTCCATCTTTTCCTATTGACACGCAGCAGCATTTTGCAACTACCCCTTTGTACTTCCCCATCTCTCTGATTTTCCCCTCCTCCTCCTCCTCCTCCTCCTCCTCCTCCTCTTCCATCATCATCACCATCCTCCGTCATCATCTTCATCATCAGCAGCACGCTCTGCGCCTCCCGGTCCCCCATCATCATCAGCAGCAACTGCATAAGAACAACTTCAGTAATTCACTAATTAAGACAACAACGACGCCGAGAAAAGGTGGCACAAGGAGGAGAGGCGGGAAATTCGCATCGCGTTCGATCATCCAATGATCATCTCTAATCAATCAATCAATCAATCAATCAATCAATCAATCAATCAATCGATCGATTCTAATTACCACACACATTCGGCGAGAGCCACACAGTTTCACTCACGCAGCCCGTCCCCCCATTTGCCCAAAAATACGTCCCCACCCCCCCCCCCCCCACCCCCCCCCCCCCCCCCCCCCCCGTCCAAACCCTTTATTTAAAAAAAAAAAAAAAAACAAAAAAAAAACACCTTTTGTTTCGCACCTTTCACTACCCCTAATTCTCTCTTTCCTCTCCTGTGTGATGGTCAGCGGTGTGTGTGCAGCTCGCAGCAAAACCGACAGCTTAGTGTCATTTAATAAAATTGTCATTTTAAAAAAATGATAAGTCATAGCAAAAGAAGAAAAAAAAACGGAACGTTTGACGACTTGAAAACGTTAATAAATATGCAGAAAAATGCACATTCCGCCCCCCCCCCCCCCCCCCCCCCCCCCCCCCCCCCCCTCCCCCCCCCCCCCCCCCCCCCCCCCCCCCCCCCTACCCCCCCCCCCCCCCCCCCCCCACCCCCCCCCCCCCCCCCCCCCCCCCCCCCTCCTCAAAAGCACATTCTTCTTTCCCTCTTTCATGTCCTCCTTTTTGCGTGAAGAGCTATTCCTCCAATATCCGAAATTTTCGAGAAATTTATCTTTCACTGCCGGCATCCATGCGCAAGGACATTCCCTGGATGTATACAGCCGTGAAAGAGACCACATTCAGTTGAAAAAGCCAAAAGTCGATGGTGAGATTTAAAACGTTTCCTCTCTTTTCTTTTCAAAGCACCAATTGCTGCCTCTCTTACTTTTGGCGGGAATGCAACTGACATTGATAGAATAAGGTAGGGGGGGGGGGGNCCTCCCCCCCAGTTGATAGCCATTGCCCTGAGCCAGGTTTCACCCGGTGCGTTCCCGCTTCTCCCCCTTCCTCCTCTCCCATCTCTTCCATTTCCCCCGCGCACCCCTTCACTGCTCTTTTGCTCCCCCCCGGCGAGCGATCGATACCGTCCCCCCATCATCCACCGCGAGGGTAATTACTAGTAGCTCACCGGCGATCTCCTGCTGTGAGTGTGACTCTGTGGCGGCAACTAGATCATCCACTCCTTGCCTAATTAGGAACGCAAATGCGAAGCTCTCATCATCGGGATTGCACCGGAAATGGACCATTCCTATTCGCTACCTTGACGTAGACAAGGAGAGCAGGAGAGGACAAGAGGGAGAAGGAGCAAGGAGAAAGACGAAGAGCAGAAAAATCAAACTGCCTGACTCCAAAAGGAGAGCAGGAGAGGACAAGAGCGAGAAGGAGCGAGGAGAAAGAGAGACGAAGAGCAGAAAATGCAAACGGCGTAACTTCTAAAGAGTTATCGTCGTAGCTTCCCGACTGGATCATCAGCGTATAATTGAGACCAATTGGGGAGAAATAGACGTGGAGGGGGGAGAGAGAGAGAGAGAGAGTTCAACGTGCATCATCAGCGTATAACCGAGACGACTTGGGGAGAATCAGGCATGGAAAGAGAGAGACAGAGAGAGGGGGAGAGAGAGAGAGAGAGAGACAGGAGGGGAGGAGGAGGAGAGGCGGGCAAGGGATGTGTTGGGGAAAAGGTGGGAAAAGGGAAAGGAGGGTACAAGGAAGTCGAAGAAGAACGCAAAGGCAAGAAAGGCGGAAAAGGAAACGAGAAAAAAAAGGGAGGAGAGAGAAAGCGAGTGGGAGAGGAGGGGAGGAGGAGGACGAGGAGAGGCGGGCAAGGGATGTGTTGCAGAAAAAGGTGGGAAAAGGGAAAGGAAGGGAGAAGGAAGTCGAAGAAGAACGCAAAGGCAAGAAAGGCGGAAAAGGAAACGAGAAAAAAAAAAAGGGAGGATAGCAGCTTGCCTGCCTACCTTCTCGATGGTTGTCCTTTTCGGCATCTCTCCACTTAATCGTCAGAGCGCACAGCGATAGCAACTGGGACAGCAGGTTTTTCAAGACACAGCCGACGTACAGCTGCTTCCCGACACTCCACGTGGCAACGAATTCCTCGCGCTCGTGGGTTGTTGTTCCCTCATCTCCGTTCGTGGGTTTCTTCCACATCTTGTCGGGATCGGGACACGGCCCAGCCAGGATCAAAACGTATCTCTTCTTCCTCGCCATGTCGTCGCCAATCCTCTCTCTCTCTTCTCCTCCTTCTCCTCCTCCTCCTCCTCCTCCTCCTCCTCCTCCTCCTCCTCCTCCTTCCACCCACCGTCCTTCTCCTCCTCCTTCTCCTCCTCCTCCTCCACCTACCCCTACTTCTACTCCAAGTGCCACCACGTGGCACTTCCTCTTCTTCCCTCTACCACCCAGCCATCTCACACCCCCCCTGCCACCTACACTACACTATCCACACCGTCGTCCTCGTCACGACCGAGAAAGCTTGTCTCCCCACATCGAACGGTTCCTGCTGGTCCACGCCCACCATGCAGGCACGGCCTTTGTTGCATTGATTGGGCAGATCCCAGCGACGGTCATCCCTCATCCCGCCAGCTACCCGTCTTTGCCCTGATACACCTGATACACCTGCCTCCAGCCACCACAGATACGTTACATGCCAATTTCAAAACCCCAATTTTGAAAAATCTGCAGTTACAAATTTTCAGAGTAATACCTGTGCGTTGTTGGGGACTGCAGTTTCTGTACTTCCGCAAATTCTGTCCTCTCGCGGGAAGACGGGCCCGAGTTTGGCGACGGCGTGGTGCCTCGGGGGCCAAGACTCAAAATGGTAGCACCGTTGAGTTTCCTCAACACCTGAATCTGGGCATGTTTGAGGAGATGTGCAGAAATGGCGTGGAGTTTCCTCAACCGCATATCCCAACAAAGACTTCCAGATTCAGGCGTTGAGGAAACTCAACGCAGCTAGTGGGACTTGGCCTCGGACCGCCGTGTCGGGTATAGGCCGTGGGTTCACCAGACTTCTTTTCTTTTTATTTTTATTTTTATTTTTATTTTTATTTTTATTTTTATTTTTATTTTTATTTTTTTTCGTTCACTGCACCTTTCACATGAGGCTTGGGGTCAGCGGTCTAGCTCAGGTTCAGGTGGTAAGGCACACCCCAAGTGTCATTCAGCAGGTCACTGGCTCAATTCCCATGCCACTAAGGTTAAGGCACACGAGTGGCGTTCAGGAGGTCATGCGTTCGCACGACTCGCGGCGATCAGGACGTTGGTCAGGACGTTGGTTTTCAACATGCACATGGAATAAAAAATTCGTGCGTTTTCTTCTTATGTGACTCCCCTGACAAACTTCCCTAGCATTTTTGTTTTTGCATCTTCTTGACTTCTCGTTCCCGCACACGTGCCTTCTGTTTTTTGCACAGTTCTTCAACTGTCTTTCCCTCCCTTCTCCATTTCTCTCTTTTCCCATCTGCTTCACACCATCTTTTCCCTCTTTGTTAAGTCTCTTCTCCCTCCCTCCATCCCTTCGTCCTCATTGGTCCAACGGCCCTGCATGTCAAATCGTTGCATGGAGCAGGCTATATCCCCATCACCGCAGTTCAATTATAAAGAGAAGTTACAGACCTCTCTCTCTCTCTCTCTCTCTCTCTCTCTCTCTCTCTCTCTCTCTCTCTCTCTCTCTCTCTCTCTCTCTCTCTCTCTCTCTCTCGTCCGTCCTCTGCATGCATGCAGCTTCTCTCCTCCGCACAATATAAAGCACACGTCCAAGCGGGTAAGTCATTGGATAGATTGGCTGAGTTTTGGTGGTTGATTGGCTGGTGCAGAGCCCCGATGTGCTGGTAGTGATCAAGCAGAGTTGGCAAGTCCCCCTGCGACGGACCACGAGACTTGCACAAACTTGGCATGCTGATTGGGCCAGCACGGCCCAGCAGGTCGTGATCACCATTGTATTTGTTGGGTGCTTGCCAATGGACTGCCGGCACTCCATCAACTGCAGGTGTATGGCAGTACTACTCAGGCCCTGCCTGTTTAGGCCATATGGTAGGACAGTCCCTGTAACCAGGCCCTCAACTAGGCCCCATTGCACAGTGCCGGGTTGCACGCCCTCTCTGCCTGTGTGCTAGGGAGCCCTAGATTTGTTATATTGTTGTACTTGTCATTGTTCATTATCCAATCATTTGGTTGTTGTTGTTTTGTCTCTTTCTTTATCGGGGTGTTGTCTATGGTGCATTATGTGATGTCCATCCCAGCTTGCTCACCATATGAGTGGTCTCACACAGTACCGCTCCAGGTGTGCTTTGGTGGTTGCTGGCTTGCACCAGATGTTTTGGCGACGATCGAATATTTTCCAAATATATGTGAGGTATAAGTATGTAAAACTCGACAGAACGCAAATCTTTGATCTCCCACCCCGCATCATTCCCGACAACCATTGGCAACAACATATGTGTGAATCAGATGTCCAAGAAGATACCGTCCAGATTTGTAAGTGGTATGTCTTCCCCTACAAAACTCGTTGTTCGGTATTTGTAGCACCTGGTTTTGTAATCATAGAAATGACTTTGGCCCTTACTCCTTGTTTTTGCATTACCATGAGCCCACGGTTATTCTGTGGACATAGCTCCTTTATAGCTGCGAACACTCTGTTTCAGGTGCATACGTGAGCATCGATCTCTACAGCAAGGCTTCACTTACATGTTACATAAAGCAAGGAACGCAGGTAGGCGACACTAGCAGCGGGCCAGCTCATGCGTAGTTGGTTCAAAGTTTGGCTTGATTGGTTGTCGTCCAATTGTGTAGTAGCCGCCCAGGCGGCACTGGAAGTGGGTCAGCTCCTCCGTAGTTGGTTGAAAGTTCAACTTAATTTATTGTTGTTCAAGTGTGTATGGGCTGCAGCAGGCGGACTCATTCATAGTTGGTTCAAAGTTTGACTTGATTGATTGGCGCTAAAGTTTGTAGGAGCCAGTATTCATTCGTAGACACAATGTAAATCAGAATACTTACCTAACGAGGCGGCAAACGGTAAAGCAAACCTCAGTTCGCCAACGGTGCCACATGGTTAATTATCATAAGTAAAAAGAACCAGTTGATTCCCAATCAAAACGGTTCGATTACATTTGTTACATTTCCAAAATTGGAGCAGTCAGGGCATAAAAAGGTAAATCATTCATACATCCTTAGAGAAGGTGTCGTCATTACAACAGTATCGTAGCAAACACCCTTACAAGGGTATTTGCCGTCCTTTTTAAAGGTCGCATTGGGTGCGTTCTTGATCAACGTAACGCGTTGATGAGGTAAATCCCGTCAGGGCGCTCACCTCGGCAACCTCACTCTTGGCGAGACTCCGAGTCAAATACGACCGAATTAGAGAGTATGTGGAACACGCATTATTGCGTTGCACTGTGAGGTGGTTGTTAGTTGGCAGTACCAGGACGGCGGAAGGTGTCAAAGGTCATAGGGTCCGGTTACCTTCTCTATAGTTTTCAATTTGGTTATATTTTTCTTTTATTTTATAAAGACTAACTTTACTCCATGGACCGGCTCAACCTCTGGCGGGATGCGTCGCAAGGAAGATAAAGACCCTACCTTGTACACGCGCAGAAATATGTTGTGCGCCCGACGATCAGGATACCAGATAGCTACGATCTTAGGCGCGGACGGCGTCTTCTGACGACTGGGAGACTGGTGGATAGGACAAGGTGATGGCCTAGTTTGTGTAAATAAGCCAATTACAGTCATGAGACTGTTTATATGTAGATTTGTGCCTGCTTAGTTCAGCCACTGGGCCTAGCTCAGCTGGTACACCCACAAATTGTTGAAAAACAGGCTTGCGGGATCAGTGTCGCTGGGCCTAGCTCAACTGGTATACCCGCAGACTGTTGGAAACAGGACTTTGGGATCAGCCACTGGGCGTAGCTCAGCTGGTACACCCGCAGACTGTTGGAAACAGGCCTGTGGGATCAGCCACCAGGCCTAGCTCGGTTGGTACACCCGCAGACTATTGGAAACAGACCGGTGAGACCAAAGTCATTGGACCTAGTTCAATTGGTACAGCCCCCGCGACTGTGGAAATACAGATTTGCGTTTGAACTCCATTGAAAGCAGCTGAATGGAATATTACAATCCTGGATTACCTGGGGCAGTGTGGCATGTGGGAGGTGTCATGGGGCTCCGCCCCGCCTCTGTCCTTCGGGACATCCGTTAAAATTAGAACAAAAAAAA